TCCCAAACCAAGCTTTTAAGCCCAGGCTAAAATAGCCAAAAAAGCCAAAAAACCAAAAAACCAACCCACTTCCCAAACGGAGGCTTAATCAGTGTGTTTGGTTTGAGTTTTTTGAATTAAGTTTTTTGAAAACTGAGTTTTTGGTTTACGTATTTTTTTGTTTTTAGTGAATATTTTCAAAATTTTAAGCATTTTTTTTTACTTTTTTAGATGCACCTTACTTAGATGTATCTAAAAAGTAAAAAAATTGTGAAAAAATATTTTTAAAAATTAATAAATACATAAAAATACAAAATATGTACTGAATTCTTGTATTTTTTTTTGTATTTTTGGTATTTTGTGAATTTTTAAAAGGTTTTTTTTCAATTTTTTTTTTTACTTTTTAGGTATATTTATGTTAGTTATGTCTAAAAATTTTAAAAATTGCTCAAAATATTTAAAAAATTCAGTAAAAACAAAAAAATACGAAAAATAAAAAAGTAGAATTTTCTGAAAAGTGTTTTTGAAAAATGGTAACCAAGCATAGTGAATGATATTATAAATTTATTTCAATTATTAATAATTTAGTTAATTTTATTATTGTATAAGGGAATAGTTAATTTTTGTGACGCCCCAAATTTTTCGAACATCAAGGGAAATTAAATAAACAAAATGACTTAATAAACTAAAAAGTTGACATCTTAACAGGGTAATCCAACTCTCGTACATAACCAAACGTCCAAATAACAATAGATAAAAACTTAAAATTATCCAAATACAACATTAAATGAAATTATAAAGTCCTTAATAGCTATTATATAAAATAATATAATTTATTCGGCTCTACTCGGGGTTTCAGGTCAGCCAAGGCTCTACGTTAGCGTCGACTCCATTTCAGCTTCAATTATTTTCTCGCCAAGACCTGGCATAAAACGCCAGGGCAACAAAAATATATGCCATGAGTTTTGCAACACAGTAAGAAAACATAACCAACCTACCATTCTTTTTAAGAGAAAAATAATGAGATTATAAACACGAGATAACAATATAATTATACATAGAAATTACAACCATTAGAATAGTTTCAGTAATTTTTATAAATTAGGTGACACTCGAAATCTCACCAAAGAGATTTAACTTAAATTACAACCCTTAGAATAATTTCAATAATTTTTAATAAATTAGGTGACACTCGAAATCTCACCAAAGAGATTTAACTTAAATTACAACCCTTAGAATAATTTCAATAATTTTTAATAAATTAGGTGACACTCGAAATCTCACCAAAGAGATTTAACTTAAATTACAACCCTTAGAATAATTTCAATAATTTTTAATAAATTAGGTGACACTCGAAATCTCACCAAAGAGATTTAACTTAAATTACAACCCTTAGAATAATTTCAATAATTTTTAATAAATTAGGTGACACTCGAAATCTCACCAAAGAGATTTAACTTAAATTACAACCCTTAGAATAATTTCAATAATTTTTAATAAATTAGGTGACACTCGAAATCTCACCAAAGAGATTTAACTTAAATTACAACCCTTAGAATAATTTCAATAATTTTTAATAAATTAGGTGACACTCGAAATCTCACCAAAGAGATTTAACTTAAATTACAACCCTTAGAATAATTTCAATAATTTTTAATAAATTAGGTGACACTCGAAATCTCACCAAAGAGATTTAACTTAAATTACAACCCTTAGAATAATTTCAATAATTTTTAATAAATTAGGTGACACTCGAAATCTCACCAAAGAGATTTAACTTAAATTACAACCCTTAGAATAATTTCAATAATTTTTAATAAATTAGGTGACACTCGAAATCTCACCAAAGAGATTTAACTTAAATTACAACCCTTAGAATAATTTCAATAATTTTTAATAAATTAGGTGACACTCGAAATCTCACCAAAGAGATTTAACTTAAATTACAACCCTTAGAATAATTTCAATAATTTTTAATAAATTAGGTGACACTCGAAATCTCACCAAAGAGATTTAACTTAAATTACAACCCTTAGAATAATTTCAATAATTTTTAATAAATTAGGTGACACTCGAAATCTCACCAAAGAGATTTAACTTAAATTACAACCCTTAGAATAATTTCAATAATTTTTAATAAATTAGGTGACACTCGAAATCTCACCAAAGAGATTTAACTTAAATTACAACCCTTAGAATAATTTCAATAATTTTTAATAAATTAGGTGACACTCGAAATCTCACCAAAGAGATTTAACTTAAATTACAACCCTTAGAATAATTTCAATAATTTTTAATAAATTAGGTGACACTCGAAATCTCACCAAAGAGATTTAACTTAAATTACAACCCTTAGAATAATTTCAATAATTTTTAATAAATTAGGTGACACTCGAAATCTCACCAAAGAGATTTAACTTAAATTACAACCCTTAGAATAATTTCAATAATTTTTAATAAATTAGGTGACACTCGAAATCTCACCAAAGAGATTTAACTTAAATTACAACCCTTAGAATAATTTCAATAATTTTTAATAAATTAGGTGACACTCGAAATCTCACCAAAGAGATTTAACTTAAATTACAACCCTTAGAATAATTTCAATAATTTTTAATAAATTAGGTGACACTCGAAATCTCACCAAAGAGATTTAACTTAAATTACAACCCTTAGAATAATTTCAATAATTTTTAATAAATTAGGTGACACTCGAAATCTCACCAAAGAGATTTAACTTAAATTACAACCCTTAGAATAATTTCAATAATTTTTAATAAATTAGGTGACACTCGAAATCTCACCAAAGAGATTTAACTTAAATTACAACCCTTAGAATAATTTCAATAATTTTTAATAAATTAGGTGACACTCGAAATCTCACCAAAGAGATTTAACTTAAATTACAACCCTTAGAATAATTTCAATAATTTTTAATAAATTAGGTGACACTCGAAATCTCACCAAAGAGATTTAACTTAAATTACAACCCTTAGAATAATTTCAATAATTTTTAATAAATTAGGTGACACTCGAAATCTCACCAAAGAGATTTAACTTAAATTACAACCCTTAGAATAATTTCAATAATTTTTAATAAATTAGGTGACACTCGAAATCTCACCAAAGAGATTTAACTTAAATTACAACCCTTAGAATAATTTCAATAATTTTTAATAAATTAGGTGACACTCGAAATCTCACCAAAGAGATTTAACTTAAATTACAACCCTTAGAATAATTTCAATAATTTTTAATAAATTAGGTGACACTCGAAATCTCACCAAAGAGATTTAACTTAAATTACAACCCTTAGAATAATTTCAATAATTTTTAATAAATTAGGTGACACTCGAAATCTCACCAAAGAGATTTAACTTAAATTACAACCCTTAGAATAATTTCAATAATTTTTAATAAATTAGGTGACACTCGAAATCTCACCAAAGAGATTTAACTTAAATTACAACCCTTAGAATAATTTCAATAATTTTTAATAAATTAGGTGACACTCGAAATCTCACCAAAGAGATTTAACTTAAATTACAACCCTTAGAATAATTTCAATAATTTTTAATAAATTAGGTGACACTCGAAATCTCACCAAAGAGATTTAACTTAAATTACAACCCTTAGAATAATTTCAATAATTTTTAATAAATTAGGTGACACTCGAAATCTCACCAAAGAGATTTAACTTAAATTACAACCCTTAGAATAATTTCAATAATTTTTAATAAATTAGGTGACACTCGAAATCTCACCAAAGAGATTTAACTTAAATTACAACCCTTAGAATAATTTCAATAATTTTTAATAAATTAGGTGACACTCGAAATCTCACCAAAGAGATTTAACTTAAATTACAACCCTTAGAATAATTTCAATAATTTTTAATAAATTAGGTGACACTCGAAATCTCACCAAAGAGATTTAACTTAAATTACAACCCTTAGAATAATTTCAATAATTTTTAATAAATTAGGTGACACTCGAAATCTCACCAAAGAGATTTAACTTAAATTACAACCCTTAGAATAATTTCAATAATTTTTAATAAATTAGGTGACACTCGAAATCTCACCAAAGAGATTTAACTTAAATTACAACCCTTAGAATAATTTCAATAATTTTTAATAAATTAGGTGACACTCGAAATCTCACCAAAGAGATTTAACTTAAATTACAACCCTTAGAATAATTTCAATAATTTTTAATAAATTAGGTGACACTCGAAATCTCACCAAAGAGATTTAACTTAAATTACAACCCTTAGAATAATTTCAATAATTTTTAATAAATTAGGTGACACTCGAAATCTCACCAAAGAGATTTAACTTAAATTACAACCCTTAGAATAATTTCAATAATTTTTAATAAATTAGGTGACACTCGAAATCTCACCAAAGAGATTTAACTTAAATTACAACCCTTAGAATAATTTCAATAATTTTTAATAAATTAGGTGACACTCGAAATCTCACCAAAGAGATTTAACTTAAATTACAACCCTTAGAATAATTTCAATAATTTTTAATAAATTAGGTGACACTCGAAATCTCACCAAAGAGATTTAACTTAAATTACAACCCTTAGAATAATTTCAATAATTTTTAATAAATTAGGTGACACTCGAAATCTCACCAAAGAGATTTAACTTAAATTACAACCCTTAGAATAATTTCAATAATTTTTAATAAATTAGGTGACACTCGAAATCTCACCAAAGAGATTTAACTTAAATTACAACCCTTAGAATAATTTCAATAATTTTTAATAAATTAGGTGACACTCGAAATCTCACCAAAGAGATTTAACTTAAATTACAACCCTTAGAATAATTTCAATAATTTTTAATAAATTAGGTGACACTCGAAATCTCACCAAAGAGATTTAACTTAAATTAAAAACTCTTCCCAAATCAAGCTTTTAAGCCCAGACTAAAATAGCTAAAAAAGTCAAAAAATTAAAAAGCGAACCCACTTCCCAAACGGCGGCTAAATGGATCTCTCCAAAGTTTGTAGTCCACTTCAACTCACCAAACCAAATAGTACTACGCAACAGGCCAGTTCCCAGCACCCACACTACCTCTCTCTCAACAATGGCGGCTGCTTACGTTTTCCAATCTCCTCCATTCTCTACCCACCCTCACCCCAAACCCACCTCCCAAAACCCTAGATGTTACTTCCCCATCAAATCCTCCACCTCCTCCAATCCCTCCACCCCATCTCCGCCACAACCCCACCTCAAACACCGCCGACCCGCCGACGAAAACATCCGCGAAGAAGCTCGCCGCCACAGCTCCACCCACAACCACCAAGGCTTCTCCGCCAAGTACGTCCCTTTCAACCCCGACCCACAACACTCCGAGTCCTACTCCCTCGACGAGATCGTCTACCGCAGCCGATCCGGCGGCCTCCTCGATGTCCAACACGACATGGCCTCCCTCAAGCGCTACGATGGCGATTACTGGAAATCCCTCTTCGATTCCCGCATCGGCAAGACCACTTGGCCTTACGGCTCTGGAGTTTGGTCCAAGAAAGAATGGGTACTTCCAGAGATCGATAGTGATGATATTGTGAGTGCTTTTGAGGGAAATTCGAATCTGTTTTGGGCTGAGCGTTTTGGCAAGCAGTTTCTGGGCATGAATGATTTGTGGGTAAAACACTGTGGAATTAGTCATACTGGGAGTTTTAAAGATCTGGGTATGACTGTTTTGGTGAGTCAGGTGAATCGGTTAAGAAAAATGAATCGACCTGTAGTCGGAGTTGGTTGTGCTTCCACCGGAGACACCTCGGCCGCGCTGTCGGCCTACTGCGCCTCGGCGGGGATTCCGTCGATTGTGTTCCTTCCTGCGAATCGGATTTCGCTTGCTCAATTGGTTCAGCCGATTGCGAATGGGGCTTTTGTGTTGAGTATTGATACTGATTTTGATGGGTGTATGCAATTGATTAGGGAAGTTACTGCTGAATTGCCGATTTATTTGGCGAATTCTTTGAATAGTTTGAGGCTTGAGGGTCAAAAAACAGCTGCGATTGAGATTTTGCAGCAATTCGATTGGGAAGTGCCTGATTGGGTGATTGTTCCTGGTGGGAATTTGGGGAATATCTATGCATTCTATAAGGGTTTTCATATGTGTAGAGAATTGGGTTTGGTTGATCGAATTCCGAGGCTTGTTTGTGCTCAAGCTGCGAATGCTAATCCGCTTTATCTCCATTACAAGTCGGGTTGGAAAGATTTCAAAGCTGTTAGGGCTAGTACTACTTTTGCATCTGCAATTCAGATTGGTGACCCGGTTTCAATAGACAGAGCGGTTTTCGCTCTCAAGAATTCGAATGGGATTGTCGAGGAAGCAACCGAGGAAGAACTTATGGATGCCATGGCTCAAGCGGACTCGACTGGGATGTTTATATGTCCTCATACGGGGGTTGCATTGACGGCATTGATTAAGCTGAGGAATAGCGGGGTAATTGGTCCTACTGATCGGACGGTAGTGGTGAGTACAGCACATGGATTGAAGTTTACGCAGTCGAAGATTGATTATCACTCAAAGGATATACCGGACATGGCTTGTAGGTTTGCTAATCCACCGGTGCAAGTGAAGGCGGATTTTGGGGCAGTCATGGATGTTCTGAAGAAGTACTTGTTAAGCAAAGATTCAAAGTACTAATAAATCTTGAAAAGAGTATTGTAAGACTTGCTCTCAATGCTCATCATGTACCTTTGGTCTGAGTTTTTGCTATGCAGGTTGTTTTAAATCAAAATTTCCAATTGAAGCAATTTCAAACTTATTTTCCAAACTCAAGCTTCTAATTTCATGAAACAATAATGTGGGTTTGAGAATTAAGTTTAGAACTGCTTTCAGTTTTGGTAATTTGTTTTAAAATAACCTGTATTTCATAAAAAAGGCTCACCTTTTATTATTTCCTTATTTGGTTAGCTCTGGATGTTGTTATTTCATGTGCTTTGTTGTTGGATGACATTCATTTTGTAGGATTAGGTGCTGCTTTAACTTTAAGAGAGCTAGTGTTTAGTAGGCTGGTGAGGATCATCTTGTAGGCAGCATGCTATTTTGAGATAATTTAGTAATAAATTATGATTTGAATTTGATTACATTTTGTTGGGAAACTTACAGATTTTAAATTGCTCATTTGCATCCTATTTTCTGCTGTAGTGTTAGCATTTGTTAATCTGGTGTTTAATGTAAATTTTCTAGGGTAAAATTTGATCTAAAATCTTGTAAAGATAAAGTTTTGGAATAGCCCTTTGGGAGGATGGTTGGAGAAAGGTATTAGATTAGAATGCTATATGACATCTATAAATTGGTTGGTGAAAACTGTTTTTGATTAAATTCTTCGAAAGTAACCAACTTTTTAGGAAACATCAAGATTTTGTTTCAATCAAATATTGTTTTCGCACAAAAAAGCTAATGATGGATGTTTTAAAAAAAATCATTATTTTTGTTTCTGAAAGCACAAAAAAAAAATAAATAAATAAAAATTTGAAAGCACAATGCACAAGGTGATCAATGGATGTTTTCAAGTTATGTTCCAAGTTTATTTAAAATGCTCTTTCAAATGCAAAATGCTATTACACTAGCCATGGGAGGCTAGGATTTTGTTTCTCCCATGGATCCCAAACCCCGGAAAATCTCCAACTTACCCGCAATTAGATGTGTGATCTGAATACCCAAGAAAAGGCAGCGCCCATTGATTGTCAGGTTAGTATGTTAATCCTCGGCTCTCAAGTTTAAGTCGTGACCTGACCACTAACCCGATGATTCCTTTATAGTTGCAGTCCAAGAGTGATGATAACCTGTCCAAATGACAAGTTTTCCACTTTTGATGGCTGTTTGTTTGCAGGGAGTGATGAATTGGGGATAAGTAACAATGATCTTAATCCATTCCTGAAGGGGATGAAACCATTTCGCTCTGATTTGATGCTGCAATTTCAATGGTTAGCTGATAGAATTTCACGGACCGAAATATAGCCAGGTGGGTTCTATGGCATAACAGAGTCGAAACCCTAGTCTTGGATGAATGAAGTTCTTGCTAATCACCAGTTTTTAATGGCTGATCACAAGTTCTTCTGCAAGGTGTTTGTTGGGATGCATGAGTGGTGATGATATATTCATATTTGAGGAAACAAACATATATAGCTCAAGCTCAATCAGCTGATAGTCCAGGTTCTATGTTCTTAAGCTTCCATCTTCTAAAACTTAAGAGCATCTCCCTTAATATGTCATACAAACTTCTCAAATTATCTCATATCGATTGAGGTCGCGTTCAAGGGTCTGTCAAAACAAGAAGCATGATATATGTAACGATTTTGAACACAGTATCATTTTCAAAAGACTTGAGACACTACCGTAATAGCCATCTCAAGTTGAATACTCCATTATTATTCATTGTGTTTGGTTTAATTATTTAGATTCAATTTTTAAAAAATTGAGTTTTTATTTTTGGTATTTTTTATATTTAGTGAATATTTAAAAAAATAAAATAATTCTTTTATTTTTTTAAATGTACGGAAAATTTACCTAAAAATTTTGTTTTAAGAAATAATAATCCATTTCCGAAGGATCTTCTTATAGATCAATTAATCCCATTAATTTTGGAAATGTAGATTTAATATATTATTTAGATATTAAATTTACAGTTATACTCTTGTTATGTTTCTTTCTTTTTGTTTTCTTTTGTGCTAGAAAGGTAATGTACACAATCTATGATAATCAAATTTGGGATGAATTTTATATGGGAATCTTTTTTATTTGGAAAACCTTTCAAAAGAAGTACAAAAATGACTTGAAACATAGGATCCTGCAAACACTCCAAAAATATATGGAATTCTTTAAATGTTTCAAAATGAGTACAAAAATCTGTTAGTAAACTTTAGATAAATGTATAATTTCAAACTGTAACACTCCCATATAGCACTCAAACGGAACACTTTAATGTAACACTAAAAAAAAAAATCTTTGTGTATTTTTTTTAAACGTAACACTTCAATATAATACTCTTCCATGGTATCTGCGCCTTCCTGTTCATCCATCTCCATATCTTCAGATCCTTGATTAGGCTCATCAACCTTCAACCCCATTTGATCTGCAAAAGCTTCTTCTTTGTCCATGTTCATATCTTCCACATTCTCAGAATTGTCAAGATCATCTTGATTTTCATTCTCAGCTTCTTGCTTGTCGAGTTCATTGGGATTAAGCTCTCCAGCTTCATCAGCAGGAGTGGCAGAATCAGAATCTTCCTTTGCTCTAAGCTCTCTACCACTAGAATCTGTGTCTCTAACTGATGGACCAGATTCATATTTCTCTTTTGCATTATTAGGGTTTTCTTCATCATCCTTATCCCAAAGTTTCTCATCAATGATTTCACCATCATCGCCAGTTTCCCCCATTGCAGACTCCAGCTGCCCATCCTCATCATCTTCATTGTTATCATCTCCAGATTCCTCGCTAACACTGAATGTATCAGCAGCAAAATCCTGTTCCATCTCTATACCTTTAGCATCTTTGCCTGGAACTTCATTTAAGTCATCTTGTTCATCATTCGGCTGCAGAAGCATTAAAAAAAAATGATTATGATTTATGAACCATGTCTTCATTTATCAGTTAGAAGATATATTGCTAAAATTTATATCTGCTATGTAGTCTGAATCCATACCTTTTCAGAAGTCCCAAGGAGCTGATCTTCGTCATCTATCTGATCACTAACATCATTCAGCCCTGCACCCTCACCCATACCCGTTCCTTTTGCATCTTCAGTTTTATCATCCTTAGATTCCTCTTCTTCATTACAGATCCCAAATCCCTTGGAATATAATGAAGCAAAAATGTTCGCAAGCACATGAGTTACTGCAGATACCTGTTATTAAATTTAGACAGAGATGCCTGGAAGTCAGAAATGTTTAAATACAACAGATAATTGTAATTCAGTAGTAAATAAGAACAGAATCATGACAATGATAGAAATAATCAATGAAAGTGTTTTGTTTCCTTGTTTGTGGTGGGCAAGCAGAGAGAGAGAGAATCTAACAAGCTAAGTAAAACAAAGAAAAGCAAGCAAAAAGAGACTTTCAAATAATAAAATTTAGGCACTCCGTGTAAAACTGAAAAATCATAGAATTGTACGCACTGTCCAAGACATTGGTTTAATTCATATAACTATGTCAAACTAAATTTAACTTCATATAAAGTGAAGAGCAGATTTAGAGGTGAGCCAACTTACCATTCTATGAACGACTAGAAAATCATGCAGAAGACTATTGCTGAAGGTCAACATTAAGTCCAACAATGAATAAAGATGCTTTAAATGTGCTTCAACTTGAACACAGAGATGAGGGTTTCCTTTACCACAATGGTTCACGATCTTCCCCTAAGAAAAACACACCAGACGAAAGAGTAAATCAAAAAAGAGAGCTTTTTTTTTTTTTTGGGGGACTCCAAACAAAGTTCTCTCCCAAAAACAGCACAAAAATATAACTTACTGCACAAATAATTGCCTGGACTACTGCATCACATATGACGTCTAAATGTAGATCTGCTACATGTGATTCAAATTGAATCTTCCACATAGTAATATTACCAAGTGACTCGACAGCAGTGTCACTGCTATTCCAACAAACTATCTTATGCAATGCATCCACAATATGCTTATACGTTTCTTTGAGGGCTTCACTAAACTCAGTTTCAAGTTCAAAAGTTTTTTCTGTGGGAAAACTGGTGACTTCATCCTCGTTGTTTGATTGCACAGCACAATTATAACCCTCTGCTATCAAGTTAACCTGCAATGTTAAATCAAGAACTTCCATCAATGTTAAATCAAAGGTTGTAAGAAGCTACTTTGTATGCCTAAATAAAGCTCAACAAATTGTTTAGCTAGATAAAGAAAGACTGCATTGGATTCTGAAGTAAACTATTCATTGTAGTACGTCTTTTCGAGTTGGAGAAACAAAATGAAAACTCTTCTTCGAAAATACATGTATGAATCTACTACCTTCTTCAATATATCTTCAAAACGGCCAAGCAGAACCATTTTAACTGATCTTCTATCCTCATCTTGCCGTAGGAAAGCACCAAGGTTCTCCTCAAACTCCTTTATCATACGAAAATTCTGAAAGACTAACTGTTCCATTTGTTTCGAAACAACACAAGGATGCAAAGATATTGCCAGTGAGGTTACAACTCTATCAAGGCCAATGAGGTAACAATCCAGTAAATCCTGTTGAAAAGTTTCCATACGTAAGAAAAACGCACCACCAAAAAAAAAGAATAAAAGAAAAAAAAACAAACAAACCCACCAACCAAAATAAAAAGAAAAAGTTAAAACAATAGAGTGCCACAATGAACGAAATCAGCACCTTAGATTTCTGAAAGTCGGGAATAAATTTCTCAAGGAAAACGCGAACCCTATTTGCTGCAGCTTTGACACTTTGGCAATTGTTCAGATGATTACTTTCAACTGCTTTTAGCAGCAAACATTCTTCAAGCAACGTAGAACACAAACTATCTAATAGTTGCTGCAATATTAAAAAGTATCGTTAGTGTTGCCATCGCAGGCTCTAGAAGGTGAAATTCCATAGACACCATTTCCAATTCGAAGAGAAAGCGTACCTTTTGTTGCCACATGCAATTAAACGTGGCATGCTGGTTCTGGGCAAAAGAGAACTCGCTACTACTTACAGTATCAGAAGCAAGGGAGCCGGACAATAAATTTTCAAAAAGTGAGACACATTTCCTTAAGCACCCAAGATGCTCCGCAAAACTGTATGCAGCAGCCCGTTGCTCTTGTTGTATTACCATAAGATGGTCAAGGAAAGAACCTGATCTGTTAACCTGCATAAAACATGAAATGTACATGCGTGTCAAGTACAATCTTACCAGATATTATAATCTCAATATAGATGCTTTTCAGACATGATATGATGACATCCGAGTTTAGATCAATACATTGAACTCAAAATAAAGACACTGTTAACATTTTCTGCTAGTGTGAAGTGCAAAGGCTTGTTGACTTGAGTGGAATTCGTAAGTGTGGAGTGCAGACAAAGGACTGGTCCAGCAGTGAAAATTAAGGGCATCCCTATCTGACAAGATTACCAAGGTCCCAACAATTCTCACTACTAAGGGCTGCAATTCTCTTCCAAACCCCATCAGATTCCCAGCAAAAACATATAAGCGAAATAACATTCACCGGGCAAAACCTAGTTGGCTAGTCCCCAAAACTTGGTGCCATAAAATGCCCAATCAACAAATGAAACATGCATGCAATATAGAAGCTCCGCACAAACATGTACCTTCTTTTTCATTTTTAATAAAATCTTTTTGTTGCTTATCAAAAATAATAGCATAAAATAAAAAGCTACTTGCGAGCGCGCACACACTCAAACAATAAAAAATTACACATATATTCCATCTAAAATTCATGACAAACCAACTGCGGACAAGAACTATAGGAGCCCCGTGTCCATCAAAACCATCTTGAGCTTTAAATTTTGCTCCCACTAGAATTAGGTTGGGGTTGAATAATGAGTCTAGTCTAACGAAACCATGCCCTTCAAATAAAAGATGTACCTGTTCAAGAGTAAAGTCTTTATGGAAGTTCAGGCAAATCTGCTGCAGAAGGTGAACCGATGCCATGCTCTGAAAGTAGTATTGGTTTGCTGTTTCCCATTCCCTGTCCAAACTTTCAAGGGGCAAACCCGGATGCTGCTGGCACAGAGCAGCAAACAAATCCTTGGAAGACGGACCACCTTGTTTCATCAGTAAATGCTTCCTATCATATGAAGATTTAAGAATCCACCAATTTGATTGGTTGGATTCGAATTGATCCTATACAATGCCATCCAACACAGAAAAAGCAATCATCAGACTTGAAACAAGCAAACAATGGACAAAAAACATGACAGCTTACAAGAAATATGAAGGACTGAGCTTGAAGATTCAAAAAGATCGTTGGAAATAAAGTTCTCGTCAAATTTAAGACTAAAATCCATAGATTGAGTATGCTCATGTACCTCAAAATTTGTAGACCTGTGCTTAGACAAGCCACAATTTTCTAAAAGCTTCAGAAGGTCAGCCAAAGCCCTCCTCTTTCCCAAACTCTTGTTTTCTTCCTTCCAAAGGTCAGAACAATCAATTGCAGTTCTGCTAATATTCTCAATGGTACACCACACTTGCTTGCTTTCTTCCTGGTATGCAATGCATGTAGACTCAGGTGTCCTCTCAAGGTGCAAGTTCTGCAAAGCATAATCTACTTTCTTCCTCCAATCTATAAACCATGTGGACCTGCAGAGAAGAAATCAGACAAAGTTCAGCAAGAGAATTTAACAGCACTGCAAAATACAGAATTGCAAAACAGACAAAGCACACCTGTCCTTATCTCTGGATAGAATCTGATCACATGCAACATTCAGCATCACCCTATTCTTGTCAAAAGAATCAGTGTGAAGTTTTGGACCTTGTGGCACAGATTGCGCTTTTATCCCTTTTTGTGGAGCATCTTTATTGATAATAAGCATTATGGGTTGTTCCAGTAAATCCTGTACCAATTAAATCAATAAACCAAGGATATCTGTATGCAACTAGGCTGGTTAAGCACTTAAACTTTCATATTGAAAATTCACAAGAACAAAGTGATGACAGATATCAAAAGAAACTCTGATGAACATAAACATCAGTGGCGGAGGCAGCAAATTATAATTGGGATAGGCTTCTCTCATGTTGGCCATCTCAAGTTGAGAGAGTGTTTGTGTTTGGTAGGTTGCTTTTGGAACCAACTTCAATGATCTGAACTGTTCACTTTTTAGGATTCATTGAGTAGAATATTCATGCAAAAAATCAAGAAAGTCAAATATCGGTAGCTATATGTTTGAATTAAATTTGTATTATAAAAAATAGATGGCTATTATTGAAATTATATTTGTCGTCCATTTTTTTAAAACAAATATGATTCAAATATATAGCTACCGATATCCAATCATCTTAATTTTTTGTATGAATATTCTACTCAACGAGTCCTAAAAAGTGAACGGTTCGGATCAGCAAAATCAGTTCCAAAATAGACTTACTAAGCCAGAACGCTCTCTCAAGTTAAGATGACAACTTGAGAGAAGCCAAACCCATTATAATTATGTGTAACTATATTGATACATTTTTCAAATAATACAAATAGGGCAATAAATCCACTAAAATTCTAAAGATAAGGCAAATTCAAAGCATGCATGTTTAGAATTTTTTACCTGTACCACCCTTAACTTGAAGGTCACACAAACACGGTACCATAAGATTAGCTGAGTATATCTATATTAATGCACATAATGATTGAATGATGAGAATGAACAAAACATATCCAATATGATACCGATACTTACAGTGTATTTTTGTATGAGCTTCCTAAGTTTCTGCCTGGTCCTTTTTGAACTTTCTATGGAAACATAACTCTCAGGTAGCTCCCACCGGCATAGCTTCAAAAGTTCTTTCAATTCCTTCTCGATACTTCTTCTCTTATCTTCTATATGCTCCAAAATTCTGAACAAGACGTCACCACCAAAATATTTAAAAAGCTTTTCACTTGGAAATAAATCTTAAAAGTTGGAATATAGTGACAGAGAACGTACGTTGGCAAATATTGCACATAGAAGCCAAATATATTGTATAAAATCCTCACACTTTCCGTATGGCAAGTACTGCATAATGGAATACAAATTAAATCACTGGCTGAAAGAGAAAGGATTTCATAAAAGTCTAGCAGGCAACAGATTATAACAGAGCACAATGGCACCATTGTATTATCACAAAAACCAAAACCAAAAAAACAAAATATGCATGAAGTACATATATATTTCTTAGAAGTTCTCTTTATATGGTTTCCTATTTAAACAGCTGCTGCCATACTTTGATTCTGAAATCTGTACCTTAAGTAAGACCCCCAGTATATACCAGTGCTGATTTGGCCATGGAAAGCAAAAAGAAGTTGAAGACGTTTTCTAAATTCACCAACAGTGGATGTTTGAATGAACTCCTCCAAACTGCAGGTTAAATTATCATTTATTGCTTGAAACATAGTGAATTCTAGTTCAACTCAAATTCAAGATAGATCTCAACTAAGCACATGCCTTTGGATAGTACATCTATTATATTCAGCAATATCAGCAGAATGTCTACGCTGTAGAACTGAATACAAAGGAAACCATAACTGCAAGAAGATAAAAATTAGAAGTTAATTAAGCAAATTTGCAAAATCTATTAACTGTGCAATAAGAGAAACAAGAAGAACACGGCAGCTTGATTATTTCCTCAAAAACTTGCTGTTTTCAATGATGAAGGCACACTTAGGAGCTTATATTCCACTCAAAAGGGTAGATTGAACCTTCCACTAAAACGTCTTTAAATATTCATCAAGAGGAAAAGAAATGAGTTTATCATCATACAGTGTCAGTTTCCCCAAATTATGTATCAGTACTTAACCTTCACTAGTGGTAGCATGATTCCTGTGTTTCAAATCATGAGAAAACCTTTACTAGCGGTGGCATGGTTCCAGGCTATTACAATAGTTATTTTGGTGTCTATAATAGCAAATTTTCAGCTCTTAAGTAGGATTTATTACAAATGCATGTTTTTGGAACTGCAAACACGTGCTAGCACTTTTTTACTACAGAATTCAATCCGCTGGTTAGCTTCCTGTCTCAACTTTTAATTGTTGAACTTTCCTGGCCTGATGCTTTGTCATATTGTTGTGTTAAAATTCACCTACTCTCCACCTACTTCACCCACTTAAACCCACTCCACTAAACCTAACCCACTACACCACTACCACCTCCACTTCACCTACTCCTCACCTACTACACACTCACCCTCTCCTATATATAGGAATCATTGTAACCATAACAAATATATCAATCAATAATACAATTCTCTATTTCTCTTTATACATTAAATTTTCTACATGGTATCAGAGCAAGGTTAAGCACTTAGTATTTTTCGCTTCACCGGCGGGCGGCAACCTCGCCTTGGCCGCCCGCCGGACAAACACCTAATCCGCAACCTCCTTTCCCAACTAAATCTTTAAAACTTTTGTTTATAAACTTCTAATATTCGTTGACCTTCATTGAATCTTACTCTTAATCTTGTTTAAAAATTAACTTTGTTTGCCGGAAGGACCTCCCATGCCTTGGATACCCATGGGCCTTATTATTATTATTATTATTATGGTTTGAATTTTTTTTTTTTTGTATAGGCGGTGGTTGTGGGTGTGGAAAGAACATAGTCTAGTAGAGGTGGAATGAGTGTGGCCATATAGATAGGTGGTAGCATTGATGTTGTTGTGGTTCGAAAGGAGGTGGTGGTGATGTTACAGTAAGACACACACACACACAAAATGTTGTGGTGGTGGTGGTGTGTGTTGATGTTGCTACATAAAATGGGGGAAGGAGGCATGGGAGACGACAGTACAGTGAAGAAAGAATAAAGGTTGGTGTTTGGTTGTGAGAGAATATTTTGGGATGCTTGGGAATAAGGGTAATTTTGGTATTAAGAGGCCAAAAATTGCTAACATAAGATATTTCTGTTACCTTCTTTATCAGCTAAATGCAGGAGGGGCATGTGTATACTGTCAGCAAAAGTAAAGAAAGCCTGTCTAATTTCAAAAACCACAGGGGTTCTTGTAATTGTCAGATATGTCAGGGAGGTCCATGTAATTAATCCTAATATCTATTCCTTGTATGTAAACACATATAAAATTACGTCTTACTAATAAAGCAAATTTTACACTATTTTTACAAAACGATTCACAATTTGACAACAATGGTTTCATCCTATCCAAAATTAGCTTTAGAATGGTTTAACAGTATGTTCCTGTACTTGAATTGCTCTTCAACAGGTTCAAGTGATTCATTTTGATCCTGTCATTATTCATCAGTTATGGTTACTCCTACAATTACTCTAATGCTAGATAGTTTATATATTTTTCTGGTAGAGATTTGAGAAACTCAAAGTGTTTTCTCCCTAGCAACACATGGATACTATGACATACATAGCTCCAACCCGGGCACCATTGCTGGCTGTGCTAGGTGGCGATGGGGGCTCAGAACGAAAATAAGCTCAACAGAAATCCTGGCAGCTATCAATACTCTAAAGAAGTCCCTGCATAAAACTTCTTCTGGTTGAAAATCATAAACCTCAGGCAAAATGTGTTCTATGGTTCACACCTTGGCTGGAGTTTAGTAGCTCCAGTCCCAGTACTATTGACGACGATGGTAATTTCCTCTTAGAGTGAATCCAACACGTGTGAATTTTCTTCTGGCAATCCTAGTAGTCCAAGTGTTGTGTATATTACTAATAGAAAAGATTGCTCAACCATCCAGCAAGGTGTCATAATTTTGAGAAGCTACATTTTCTGTGTTCATTAACAAACAAACAAAGATGATTCTTGCACAATGTGAGAATTTAATATCATAAGAGCAATTGGTGTGCAATTATTGACATGAAATAGTGAAGTAAAATTTTTTAAAAAAGAAAAAAAAGAGGAAAAAAGAGGAATCCTCCTGAACAGGACCTGCAAGTCTGCAACATAAAAGGCTAGCAGCAGACCCTCAGACATCTATTCTGCCGCTTCCACAGGTTTTGAAGCTTCCATCTCCTTAAACTTTTCCAGAGCAGATATGCGTCCATCCAGAGACTCATTCAGTCCTTTCATCTGCGCAAACAAGTTATGTAAAGTGCAATCTTTACTGTATACTAAATAGGAATATGTAGTTGAAATGAACCATCTCAATTCTACTTAACAAAGTGCCATCCTAACAACCTTACGGCCCCGCTTGTTTTCAGAGATAGAATGGAGAGGATTCATAGTGAGGGGATTAAGTAAAATTGTATTTGTTTTGATGATAGTTGTTAGTGTAGGAATTATTAAATTATTTTTATATAAAATAATAAAACAAATAAAAAAATACAAAAAATTAAACATTAATGTTCAAAAAAAAAATGCCCAACATGTAAAAAATAAAAAAATAAAAAAATAAAAAAATTTCTAATCCTCTCACTATTTTTCTAATACCACCTCCACCTCCTCCATCCCAATCCCCCCTTCCAACCTTAATCCCCTCCTCTATCCTAATCCATTCCCCAACTTTACAAACAAACACAACACTAAATGGGCCCCACCTCCATCCTAATCTCATCCCACCCTCTACACCCCAAAACAAACGGGGCCTAACAACATGCAGGTGATCCTTCACCAGAGAAGATGAAAATAAGAAATAAAAAGAAAGAAACACTTAATTTGTTATTGTGTAGTATGTAGCAATATATAATGGCTTAAAATCTACGAACGGGAGGAGTTGATGATATCCTATGAAGCACCGACACGTCTCCAGGGCCTATGTACAAGTGTC